ATCCCATCCATGATCTGTGTTGCTGCCAGTACTTCCAACCCATCCGAGAGCATCACCTTAGCTGGCTTCTCGAACGCTGGCTCGGTTACAAAGGTTGCCGCTCCTGGTGTAAACATCTACTCGACGATTCCTGTTAACACTTATGGTTATAAGAGTGGCACATCGATGTCGACCCCTACAGTTGCCGGTGTCGCCGCCTTACTCGCTACACTTGGTCTAGTGGGTGAGGACATCACCAATGCTATTGTTGCATCTAGGAAAATTGGTGTACCCAATCAGTTCAATCTACCCGACATCGGGGAACTAGACGCACTCAATGCAACCCATATTGCCATCGATTCCATCCGTCGGATGGCATCCGAGGCTACTGAAGCCCCTTGAGAGTTTTAGATTTGGGTCGTCGTTGAGTCAGGTACCCTCGTTCAATCTCCTTTACTGTTCAAAGTAATGACTATCGAAAGATGAGAATGATATCATGAGTGTCATCAAGTCTGCTTCGAACACTTGTCTTGTCGTTTACGAACATCGTTATGAGTCACTTTTTTCCATTTCATCGTTATTTCATCAAGCACCCTTTATCTGTCATGGGGTACACTTGGTGGTCCAGACATCTGTCATCAGAATATTCCGTCATGAGCATCTTCAGCGTAAATGACAACGGATTTCTAAATATTTATTCAGTCCTTGGGTTCAGTCTCTTCCCCGGTTCTTGCCAGCTGAGTTCATGACGGACACAAAACGTCTGTTGGCGACAAGTCGGCCTACCATCACCGTGACCTGGTTACACTTACTCGCCCACCCGAAACGAGCTTTTTTCGCGGAACAATAGAACATCGACTCGATGTTTTCGTCGCTCGAGCCCTATGCAGTGTATAACCAAGAACTCTGTGCCCATGTATGCAACTCAATACGGCCCTGTTGGGTATACCAAGACATGATTATACACTTATGAGTAACAAATGGGATGGTATAGCTTAGCTGATACATTAGCTGATACAAATGGGACAACGGAGTCACAGATGTGATGGACTGCACACCGCAACAGTCTCAACTGACAACAGTTAACGTAACATGTTCCCATATCAGCACAACTATGGAGCAAGATACACACGCTCGAAGAAATTGGCAAATCGTGAGGTCCAGGAACGCCTAGTCACACAACGACGAGCAACAAATTCGGGTTGAGATTCTTGGCATATTCCTACTCATGCTGCGAGTCTGCACTACCTGGCATGATCACAGAAAGCGATTCGCGAGGTATGCTGTGTTCGTTCATCTATATT